ATGATGATTTAATTCTACTTTTGTATTAGGTTTGACTAAAGTAATAAGACATTCTACATTATAAAGTAATGGGACTCATTTTTGGTCATGCTTTGTATTACTCTTAACCATGTCATAAAACTTTTACTATCAAAGATACTTGAAACATATATCCCAACCAACAATGAAAAAATAAAATGTTAGCTCTAATAAGCCACAACCCAAGAAGTTTCTTAGATAGAGTAAAAACTATTGTTTCTCACATTGTGCTTCAAAGGTAAATGGCCCTGTCCTTTTAATATATTGATGTTTCAACCCTAAGTACTATGTTTTTACCCACCATTAATTACCTTAAAATAATTTTTCAGTGACTCTGAAGAACATCTATCTGCAATATTTCCTCGTTGATCAATATAAATCTATGATCAGTATCTGCTGTCATATGGCACTAAAAACTACCTTTATAGAATGTCTGAACTGGAAGGGTACTGGGGTGTGTGGCCTGAGGGTGAGAAGAGTGGAACTGATGCTCTCATTTTATAGAGAAGAAAACAGATCAAGAAAGGTTAGGTGACTCACTCAAGGTCACAAAGCTAGTTGTTGGCCAAGCGTCACCAACATTAGGCTTTTTTTATGCTAAATCCAGTGATCTTTCTATTACAACATGCGGCTTACTTTTCATTTCCCTTTTTCAATGTGTAACTATTTTATTCTGCCCAAAGAATGTTGAGATTCAGTTAAATACCAACCAGTGTGGTGTGAGTGTCCAGCATAAATTCTATTACACCTTCAAATCTTTTTTTCTGGGATCATTTGATTAGGGCTTATTTGATAATTGTACATTTTTAATTTTACAAATGAGTTTCAGAGTAAATCTTTGGGATTTATTATTTATAAAACACACAAACCTGCATATTTCCATCTCATCCTTCACATGCTTTATATAAATCATGTCTATCACTATTATTAGCACATACATCTGAACAGATTCTTTAGCAAAACCGAGGACACAAGGGAACACTATATAACCTGATTTTCAATTTTTAAAAATTGCACTGGTGTCATAAATGAAGATAAAAGTATATGTATTATTTCCCATACTATTCCAGTAACATCCCATACTAAAAAAAACAAAACTGCTTACCTGGCAATTTTTTTTTTTAAAAAGTTCTGGCTTGTAAAACTATAACTGAACCCATAACAGACTAGTAATATAAATTATTCTCAGAAAGAGAACACCTCTGCAAATCATACTCTGCAAAACATACTCCTTATCTCCCTAAAGCTGCACATGTATCCCTCAACGCATGAATCTTTGAAAATGTCAAATAACTATTATCTTGCCTTTGCAACACTTGTCAAGTGAAAAAACTAAGAAAATAAGGTTAAAACTTTTCTGCTAAAATCACCTTCCCTAAGACAAACAGAAACGTTCTACTAAACACACGTTTCTATTAATGTCTAAAGAGAGTTTACAAGTCACTTAATTAAACCAAAATAACCCTTAAATATTCTTTTAAAAATATTTAAAAGGACTGCTAAGCCTAGCAATAAGCTTGTTTTCTTAAATATGCTCTAGCACCAAGAAGCCTAGAAGTTATTTCCTAGTTGACAAATGGTATACACCTAGCCTTAAAAAGAGGCACAGCTATGGGTAGCAGGCCTAACTCTTCAGGCCAAGAGGGACCCAAACCAGTGGTCAAGCAAACCAATCTAATTATTTGTTCATTTAGCCGGGGAAATGCATTTAAGGCGATTGAGGATGATTAATAGTGCATACCTCTACCTGCGACCCTGGGCTGCTCCGAGCCTCGCTGCAAGACTGAGTCAATCCTGCTAACGAAACAAGAACTGAGACAAGAGTGCAGTGAGGAGGCGCCAGGTTATCGCCCCAGCACAGCCAAGCCAGCACCGACCCTGCCGCTGAAGCCCAGGGCCCAGCCGATCCTTTACTACCTCAACTACACGCCGGGGGTGGCTCACGTGCCCCCTGCGCTTTCGGCTCCTTCAGGGTATGTCTGCAGGCCTCCTGCCCTGCCCTTTTCCCCCACCCCTCGATCCTGACTAGCCCCCACGTTCAGGGAGAACCCGAGGCTACAGGGCTCCGGGAGAACCCGAGGTGGGGGCCCAATCGGGGGGTCGGTACGCCCACGGACCCGGGGTGGCCGAGACCAGTCGTATCGGTGCGGTGAGGCTCCGCGTCAAAAGGAATAACTGAGAGCGCTTGGTTAAGTGGAGGATCGAGTTACTGCCCCCCCCCCCCCCCCCCCCCCCCCCCCCCCCCCCCCCGGCGGGGATCAGCGTTACCCGGATACCGGCTCCGGGGGCAGGCTGGGGGTGGTGGGAGGAGGGAGGCGGAGGAAGCTCGTCCAGGCCCCAAAGCCTGAATCGAGGGGAGGCAGGGCGGGCGGCCGGCCTCTGCTCGACCCCGCCCCGGCGGCGGCCGCAGCCACGAGAGCCGCCGGCCGGCGGGGCGGGAGGGGAGGGGAGGGGGGCGGCCGCCCGGGCCCCGCGCTCTCCTCCCCCCGCCCGGCCCGACCTCCGGGCCTCGGCCCCGCGCGGCCCCCGCCCCCGGCCCCGGCTGGGCCTCGGAGCCCCGTACCTTGAAGTAGATCTCGTCCACCACCTCGTGGTAGGTCTTGAGCTCGTAGAGCTGCACCTTGAAGTAGGGCGACGACAGGATGTTGGTCAGGATCATGGGGTTCAGGTTCATGGTCTTCTCGTTGCCCCACAGCGGCAGCACGTTCCCCTGCTTGCCCGAGGCGGCGGGCTTAATGGCGCCGCCGCCGCCGCACTGCTGCTGCTGCTGCTGCTGCTGGGCCGCGGCCGCGGCCGCCTGGTGCTGCGGCGGCGGCTGCGAGTTGCTGCCTGTCAGCGCCGGGCTGTTGTTCGCCATGTTGCGGCGGAAGGCGGGGGGGAGGGCAGGAAGGAGCAGCAGGAAGGGAGGGGGAGGAGGGGGTGGGGGCGCGGCGAAGCTCGGCCTCTCGCTCTCGCTCGGCAGAACGGTCCGGGATCCTACTCCATGGAACGCCGACGGGAGGAGCGGGGGGCCCCCTCGCTGTTCCGCCCCGGCCAAGGCGGGGTGAGGGGGGACTGGAGGAGGGAACCCCACGCCGAAGCTGGGAACTGGGATGCGGGCCAGAGCAACTCCCGGAACAAGGCAAGCAGGCGACTAGGGAGCACGATCTCTTCCGCCAACTGCCCCTGGGAACAAGATGGCGGGCCCGGGCGGAAGTGACGCGACACGTCCCGGCGTCCCAAGTCCACCCCGGGACCAATCGGAGGCCTCAGGGGGCGGGGAAAAGGTTTGCCTGTGAGGCTAAGCACTCCCGCGCTCCTTTCTGAACTGTCGGGATCCCGATCCAGTAATTGCTGCGGAGTTGGGCGGGTCAGTTGGCGGGAGGGTAATGCCTGGGTCTGGCCGTTCTCTGGGTTGGGAGTCTTCTGAATTACGGGGAATGCCCGTTTCCGTCCCGGGACCCAGGACTCTTTCCCGAGCGGAAGAGAACCGTAGGATCGGTCATCCAGCCCAAGAGAGGAAAGGCAGGCCTGGCTGGGAGTAAGTACCCGACGACCTGGAATCCTAGGCCCCTTCAGCCGGACCCGGCCCGGCCCCCAGCCACTTCTAGGCCGCTGTCATCTCTTCCCTGAAGAGAGTCCTGATCTCAACGTGGAAATCTTAGGCCGGTTTTTTTTACCGCACTTTTGGGGGGAATAGGATGGAGTGGGAAGGAGGGCAATTGATGAGTCCCAAAGCCTTCTAGAAATGCTTAGAGAAGGGCTACACCACTCTGAGTTCCTGCCTCCTCTAGAACATGAAAATTAACTAGTTAAGCCAAAATCACTTTTTTAAAAAGTGACCTTTAAAGAAAAATGAGGTTCAAAGTATCAAACTGATAAAAATGTTGCAAAGTCGAATTCCTTAGGTGTATCTGCTTTAAGGAAATCATCAAAATGGTTTGTAATTAGCACAACAAATATCCAACAGACGGATAGTACATAGGGTCCACACTTGAAGATAGTTTGTTCTCTGAAAGTAGTTTAAAATGTCTTCCTTGAAATCCTTTGTACTCTGAGCAAATACTTTCTTCAGATAAAGGAGCAAAGGGAAACATTAGGATAGTCCCCGTGCATAATATTACAAACTGCTAATTAGTTAGCAAAGTCAAAATTAATCAAGTTTTACTTTGAATTTGAGTTAAGTATTTTTTTAAATCCGCCCCCCTCCCCAGTCAAATTAATCTTTCAAAATGGCAGGTCTGACCACTTCATCTCCCACATCCAGTCTCCCCCCCCCTCAGTAAACTCCAGTGGCAGGATCAAATGTAAAATCCACCCTTTTTGACATTAAAAGGTTTTTACAATCGGGCCCTTTCCTACCTTTCCGGTCATCTTACACTTTACTCTGCCTCCACCTATGTTCTAGTGACACTGACCTTCCTGTTTCTCAAACAAGACATTTCAGCCTGACTGCCTTTTATTGCATCTCCTCCTTTCAGGGAATGCCCTCCTTTTTCATATCTGTCTCTTAGCTTCCTTCCTTAGTCTCAGCTAAAACCCCACCTTCTGCAAGAAGCCTTTTTTCTGATTCTTCTTGATGCTAGTTCCTTCCCTGTGAGATTATTTCCAATTTATCCTATATATTATCTTGTTTATGTTTGCATGTTGACTGTAACTTCCTAGGGGACAGAGGGTTTTGTTTTGTTTTATTTTGGGGGTGGGGCTTATATCCTTAATGCATAGCAGTCTTGGTCCGTAGGTAATTAATAAATATTTATTATTTATTATTATTTATTGAGATGACTTCACTTTGAAATACGTAGAACTAGATGATGACCTTTGTAGAGTAAAACTTCTGTAGGGAATATGTACTATACCTTAAATCTGGGGTGGGGAGCCTGTGGTCTCGAGGCCACATGTGGTCTTCTAGGTCCTTGGGTTCAGCCTTTTGACTGAGTCCAAGTTTTACTGAACAAATCCTTTTATTATGGAGATTTGTTATTTGAAGTTTGGATTCAGTCAAAAGGCCAACACTTGAGGACCTAGACAGCCACCTGTGGCCTTGAGGCTGCAGGATCCCCACCCTTGCCCTAAATCTTTGCTGATTAACTTTGGGAACCAATGGACCCTATGATCTTAAGTCAGTAAATGTTATTTATATAAATGAAATCCAAACTATTTCACCCCATTTTAGCTTTGATGTGTTAACTAGATGAAAACAAGTCTTAATCAATCAATTAAAAGACCACAGACTAAGAGTGAAGAGTTTTTGAAAACCTCTGGGTGAAATGAAATGATGCCAGACAGGAAGTCTGTTCTAATAATTAGAGGAAACTTAGGCACACCCAAAGGTCATCTATAAATTATCCAGCAAGTGGAAAGGGGATTGGATTCCAGAATTGGAGCCTCTGGCTTTCTAGTATATCCCTGAGGAACTGCCTGGAAGGAGGGAGAGTCCCATTCCCCCACACCTCGCCCCACAGGTGGGCGCTTTCCAGTTTAGAAGGATTTGGAGAACATTGGATTTCCCATCATTGTCCAAAACTACGTCTTCTCATCAACTGTATCATGCATCAGGAGCCATGGACAAATGGAAGATAGATCTTCTGTGCTTAAGGGGAACTTCCTGAGCATTCGATAGAGAAGATGAAAGGACTTTGAGAAACAGGGAGCTGTGTGAGTTATTCCTCTGACACATCTGCTAAGTTTGAGGCCACTCTTCCCCAGACTTTGTACAACAGTTATACCACCTGTGTTACTGTACCATTTTGGAAAATAACCCTTTCTCAAAACAAAACAAAAAAACCAATAACTATTTGACCTGGCTAACCTTGGCTGATAATCTTTGTGGGAAACACGTCTTGTTGAGTCTTCAGGGTTACCCCTAGAACCCTTCAGGGAAGACACAGCCAAGCTCTGAGGATTTGACTTTTCAGTGGGAGTGGGAATTTGGATAAGCATCCTTGGAGCTTTCATGGGTGAGTCTTAGTGACTATATTAGACATATAGAAGAGGAAAAATGTGTTTGTGTAGTCTGTTAGAAGCATTTATATTAGTTTTTAAAAGATGACAATATTGGATCACCTGTAATAATAATTAAACATTAACCATATGTATTATTATATATATTAATTTTTCCTTGCCTACAGCTATAAATACATGCAGAGTGAGTATTCAAGTGTGCTTATTACATTTATTTCACTCTTTTTGAAACTTCACATGGGTGGGGAATAGATAGCTGGCTAAGAAATAATTTTTGTGAGCTGATAAAATTTTTAGTTCTTTTCAGGCATGCTACATTTTTCGTATTTCTCCAGCTAAACTTCCCTGCCCCTCTATCTACATATATAGCTGAAATAATTAAAATATTAAAATATTGTTTATATTTTTTGTAAAAAACTGCTGTTAACGAAAATATCAAAAAAACATTAGCTTAGTGTTTAAATTATGTAAATGTCTATTTTTTCTAACATAGCTTTTCAAATAATTCCCCAGCTATTGGAGATGAACTTCTTGAATTGGATATCACAGAATCTAAATGCAGGAAAGGACAAGTCCAAATGGCATCTTAATGAGTTATTTCCTCTCCAGACTTTTGTTGTAGAGGAATTATTTCAAAATCAATATAATATTCTAAGTCAGTTACCTGGAATTTTGGAAGCATTTATACTAGTTTTCTTTTTATTTATACTACTACCATTTCATCCAACCCTTCATTTTCTAGTGGGGAAAATTTAACATCAGAAAAATTAAGTCTCACAAATCCAGATACAGTAGAGTGGGAACTAGAACTCAGATTCACTGGTTTCTAGTTAAATTAATCTTCTACTATATTTGTTGTTATCCAGTGATATTGCTGATTTACCACTCCTCTTGGGTGAAGTATCAAGTGAAAAGTACTTTGAAAAGAAGTAGATGCAATTAACTGCTTCTACCTAATAATAACATTTATTAATTTCTGCTTGAAAAACTCCACCACTCAAGAATTCACTAACTACCATCTGAGGCTGCCTCTTTCACTTTGTCAGAGCTTTCTACTGCCAGGCATTGTGCTAAGCACTGGGGATTGTCTCAACTGAAATTCAATAAAAAGATAGATTGAGGCATATTCTCTCTAAGCAATATAACAGTTTACTACTAGGGCACTGAACCTATTTATAAAGAGATCAATGACTTGCCTCAGTTTCTAGGCAAAGACCAAGAACTGAAGATGCAACTCCTTTTGATAAGCATAGAACAAAGAATAGAACAGAAGAGGTGAGGAGATCATAGGGCTGGCAACATCATGGGGATGAGGAATCATAATTGGTTATGTTAAGGCAAGGGGTTTTCACAGTGAGGCACACACATACACACACACACACACACACACACACACACACACACACACACACGACACACTCTCTCTGTCTTACAGAAATGCTTTTTATGGATTTGTGGGACCAGTTGCATCCTGATAGTGATGCAGCTCTTAGCTAGAATTCCATCTTCTGTAATAAGCCTTTTCCAGTCCTCCCTTAATCTCAGCACTGTCTCTGAGTTGACTCCCAGTTTATCCTGTCTATATCTTGTTTTTCCCTGATTAGACTGAGCTCCTTGAGACAAAGGATTGATTGGTTATGGTTTGTACCTTTATTTATATCCCCAGTGCTTACTACAGAGCCTGTTATATAGTGATTAATAAATGCTAGTTGACTGACTGACTGATTGTTAGAGTCATTCATTTCCAGTATAGTTGATTGGTTGAGTTCTCCAGGATTATTTTAAGGTTTATCTTTGTAATATAATGATTACCCTTCTGCTATTCCATGAAAGGTAATGAGATTTTTATGTACAATTTTAAACACCAGGTTATATCTGACTGAATATTCAGAAGGTACTTAGCTGATGGTGATGTGTTGATAGTGGACCAGGCATAGCAGACTTACAGGTGCCTGAGAATGAGATAAGACCATCTTTAATTGGCAAGGATGAGGCTAAGATGGGACAAAGTCAACTTGTCTGCTCTCAGGGATAGCACACAGATATCCTGGAGTTAGGAGGCACAACATGATTTGTAGGTAGTGCTAGAATAACAGTTCCTTTAAAGTGCTTTATGAGAGTATTGAACTCCTAAACTTTAGTTCAGACTTTTTCTTTAATTAGCAGTGATTGTGGGAAAGCTTAAACCTTTGCATCTAACTTGAGAGAGGAAGACTGAATTTTTTTAACTCATGAGCTTCTTCATTCGTAGACAAAGAAAAGGCATAGATTTCTTACATAGAATACGAAATATGGTTACAGATTAGAATCAATTACAGAGTGCAATAAAATATAAAATACAGGCTCAATAATTAATTTTCACATCATACAAATACAAGCAAGACAGTCCTTGCTCTCAAGGAGTTCCCTTTCTGAAAAAGCAAGACAACACTTACAGGAGGAATGATGGTCAGGGAGGAGTGTTTTGGTAGTGTTGATTTGATTACTTTTGGACAGCTCTAATCTTTAGGAAGTTTTTCTTTACATCAAAATCTGTCCCTCTGGAACAGTCCATTGCTCCTGCTCAAGGGAATACTCTTGGCTCTCCAAGTTTTCCAGAAAAATGAAGTGTTCCTTACAAAATAAAACAAGATAGGTTAGAAACAAAGGGAAAAGATCTAAAGACACCAAGCAGATTCCTGACCTTTGTTTAGGAGATTGGAGGAGGGAAATAATATGGCACAAGAAGGAGCACTGAACACTGAAAGCTAATTTAATTCAATCCTACAATCAGTTTTTCTGAGTAGTAAATGTGAACCCTTTCTCATAGCTTCATCTCTCTGAGAAAGCAATTGCTTACTTTGCAAGAAATAACAACATGGAACTATAGCTGTCTATTATCCAATAAGAAGAAGAAGAAAAATGGAAAAGTGGTAGCTGATAACTCCCTGCTTAGTGGTACTTGGACAGTTGTTTATTGGCCTTACAAGAATCAAAAGAATATGCTGTCTTCATGGGTCACATATGTACAACTTAGCGGAGAATTATCTAACCGTGTAACTGTCCCACTTCAGATGATTAATGTTGGGACAAATAATACTATTGTAAGAATCTAGAAAGCTCTATGAAGTCTGAAGGGTTATGAAACTGAAAAACTGATGGGTATAGTAATACTTTCATCATGGCTACCTCTCTGATGCCTCAGAAGGGAGAATCAGATTTTGTTAATGGACAGCTGGTAAAGAAGACGATGAGGACCAGATCTGAAATTCTGTTTAAAAATTTAAAAAAAAAAAAAGGAATACTGGGTTCTTATTTCAGGGATGCACTACAGCCAACAATGTCTGGTAAAAACACATTTGCCTGGAATATAAGCAAAGTGGCTTAAAAGTAAAAAAGAATGGCAAGGAGAAATATACTTAAGTATATTTAATAAGCTAGATATCATAAAGAGTAGCCACTGTAACACAGGAAAATTGTAATAGAGATACCAGTAGTTAATGTTACACAAAATACAAAAAAATATCCAGAAATAAACTACATAGCCTTAAATGTTTATATATAGATATACAAAGTATTGGTAACAATGTGAACCAAACAGCCTAACACACAGGGACAAATTTGACAATAGTTATCACTAAGACTTGGTGGGTTGAGACCCATAACAGAAACGGGCATACAGGATAGGGTGCTGAAACTTGAATAAAGGAGACTTATATTAAAATTCTGCCTCTGATGAGCACGGGGAAGAATTCATGACAAATCAAGGGGTAGAGAGCATCATAGAAGGTAAAATGGACAGTTTGGAAACATAAAAGTTTTTGCACCAACAAAACTAATGCAGATAAAATTAGAAGCAGGTAACAGGGGGAAAAATCTTTGCAGCAAATTTCTCATTTCTAAGGTGTATGAGAAGCTGATTGTGTTATGCAGTGGATAAAACTGAGCCTACAGTCAGAAAGACCTGAGTTCAAAGGCAGCCTCAGACACTTAGCTGTTTTACCCTGAACAGATTGCTCAATTCCTGTTTGTTTCAGTTTCCTCATCTCAAAATGTAAATAATAAAAGTACCTACCTCATGGTGTTGTTATGAGGATCAAATAAGATAATAACTGTAAAGTACTCAGCACACTGCCTGAGCCATTCCCCAAATGATAATTGGTCAAAGGATACGAATAGGCAGTCTTTAGAGTCAAAAATCCAAGCTGTCAATAACCATGTGAAACAATACTCCAAACCCTTCAAATTAAAAACAGCTCTGAGGTATCGCCTCACACCTATCAGATTAACTACACTGGCAAAAAAGGAAAATGACAAATGCTAGAGGGGTGTGGTAAAACAGGTATGCTAATGAATTGTTGGTGAAGCTGTGAACTAGGCCAGCTGTTCTGGAAAAGAATTTGGAACTATTCCCCAAAGGTTAATAAACCATGCATACCTTTGACCCAGTGATACCACTGGTCTATATCTCAAAGAGATCAAAGAAAGAGGAAAAAGACCCATAAGTCTTGGATATTAAAAGTAGTACCCATCAAATGGGGATGGTCACATAAATTATAGTATATGAAGGCAATGGAATACAATTGTGCTCTAAGAAAATTATAAAGGGGATGGTTTCACAGAAACCTAGAAAGACTTTTTTGAACTGATGCAGAGTAAAGTAAATAACCAGATGAACAATTTACTACATATCGTAAAGACAAACAACTTTGAAAAGACTTAAGAATTAAGAACTCTGATCAACACAAAGACCAACCACAGTTCCAGAGGACTTATGATGAAACACAGGCTACCCACCTCTTGAGAGAGATAGGGTCTGCGGGTACAGATTTAGACATTTTCTTTTGGACGTGGCCAATGTGTGAATTAGTTTTGCTTGACTGTGCATGTTTGTTACAACGATTTTCTTTTCTTCTTCACATGGGGTGTTGTTGGAAGAGAAGGTGTATTTTCATTAACTGAAAAACTGCAATTTAAAAATGAAAGAAAAAAAATTCTGCCTCAGATACTATCTGTG